AAATGACTGGCATTCAAAACCTGGAGATTGCGACCAGCTCAAATTCCCTACCTTCTGTACACTGTCATCGTTTAATCCAAGGTCTACRATTTTACATGCCACTTTGGCTTTAGTTGACTTACTTTCATAGAGGTAAACCTGAAAAGACACTTGATAAATTAGGATGGCATTGCAGATCTGGTCATGGGCTCAAATCTCATTGAAGCCCAGGTTAGACTTCTTTTACTATTTTTAGTCCATAACAAAATGGAATGGAATTAAACAGAATAAAATGTAACTCAATGGAGAATTAAAAGAAACACAATATGATGAAATGGAAGGAAACACAATGGGATTGAATGAAATTAAACACAATGGAATAGAATGAGATGAAACCCAATGGGCAGATTGGAGTGGAACACAATGAGATTGAATGAAATGGAACAGAATGGGATGAAAATGAATGGAATACAATGGGATAGAATGAAATGGAACAGAATGAATGGAATAAAATTGGGTATGAATGGAATGGAACACAATGGGATTGAAAAAAATGGTCAATCAATGGAATGATATGGAATGAAAAAGAATGGGATTGAATGGAGCTTATATATCTTTTCTGATTCTACTTTGGCTCTAAGACAATAATCAAGCTGCCAATAGCGACACAACTCGAAGATTGTTAGACAAGTATACCGTGGACATAAATCTGTATGAAGCCTCAGACTTTGTTCAGACCTCAAAAATCACATTTTGTGTGTTTAAAAAGCCATTTCTGTATCTAAACACCTGGCCATCTTGGTTACAGATTTCTAAATGCCCGTATGTTTACAGAAAAAATAAGTGACCTATTAACTAGTCCACCTCACCTCACACACCATCATCTATCTCCCTCCTATAACTCTTCGATTGCTTCGCAATCTTCGAGTTAAAAAGGAGAGGATATAAAATTACCTTGGCAAAGCCTCCACTACCAATAAGCTTTCTGCGCACATATGTTTTCAAAACATTAGGCTCAGACACTTGATTGCTGCTATGAGGTCTTTCCTCAACATGTCTGGACGCTGATGATTGTTCACCATGCTCAAAAGGACTATCTTTACCAGTATGCATTTCAAGATCCGGTGAAGGAAAAAATTTCCCAKGTGTGTTTACCTTRCTAGGGTCATGAGGRACAAAACCATCTCCTACAGGAGATTTAGGATTGCTTGARTTAGGGATACCACCCTTTCCATTGTCTGGRAGATCATAGTCRTCAGAATCTTTCTTTGACTTCACTGYAGATTGACTTGGCTTATAGGGGGGTTCTGCTATGGGAACAATGTCCTCATAGATATCTTCTGTCTCAGCTGTCCTTCTTGGCGATGGTATTGGCCTTGAGCGCTGTCTTGTCCTTGGAGGAAATGAATTCCTTTTTGCTCTTTCTTCATAAGCTTAAATAAAGATGATAAATAATAAAAAATAAATAAAGGGAGAAGGAAGCAAAGAAAGGAAGGAAGGACAAAAAGAAGCAAGGGAGGGAGCCAGTAAAGAAGGAAGGAAGGAAATAAAGGGGGAGGAAGGAAGCAAGGAGAGAAGGGAAAAAAAGGAAGGAAGGAAGGRAAGAAGGGAGGGAGGGAGATTGAAAAGAAGCCAGGGAGAAAAGACAATTATAGCAAGTACAAATACATGACAAGAAATTTACCTTTGACTATATTTCCAGTTTTCTTAGTCCAAAGAGGAGGCTTATCTTCAAATAATATAATAAGCCGATGTAGGATTTTTGAAATATTTGGATGAATCTGAAGTTCAAGCATAATTATAATAATTCTCCTCAGTTTATTTTTTATTTCATCCGGCTTGTGGTTATCTAGGCTCAGTCTCCAGCCGTCGGGATTTCGTGCGCCCGCGATACTCTCTCCCCTGACGGCTGGGCGCATGGGGTTCGAAACGTGTCGCGCATGTCCGTGACGTTTTTGTGTAATTAGCATATTATGAATAACGGAAGTGAATTTTTCAGTGAACGGAAGTGAAATATCTAACAACAGCCGTATTAAAAGGTTTTGCTACAAGACGGGAAATTATGTGAAATGAAAACTTCGCGAAGTGGCGATATAATGTAATAGTTAGCGCTTTAAAAAAGAGAAAGGAATGGAAATTACCCCAAGTAAAACATGTGTAGGGTTAAATAATCCAAATGGATATATTATCTGCCAGAAAGACGAGCAAAATACACTAGTGGCGCTGTTTGAAAAATAAGAGATTTGCCCGAGCCAGTAGGAAGAATAACAAGGACATCTTTTCCAAGAACAATCTCTTTAAGAGCCTTTTGCTGTATTTCTCTAAATTCGTCCAAGCTAAACGACTTCAGAGCGTTCAAACGAGAAYCTCAAAAGACGAATTGTCCGCCATTTTGTTACACTGCGACGACGGCTGCCTGCTAATTTATTAATGATATGCCCCTGAAAATATCRGGGGCCACTCGCTGATTGGTCGAGACTGACAATARCGAACCCCATGCGCCCAGCCGTCAGGGGAGAGAGTATCGCGGGCGCACGAAATCCCGACGGCTGGAGACTGAGCCTAGTGGTTATCATGTACAATAATGAGCCACACAAATTATTTGTTTATAAAACCAATATATATGACTGCAACATTATCCTATTTTGCATTTATTAAAAATGGAGGACCGAGAAAAAACCTTTGAATCAAGAGAAAACCCTTGAATCAAGAGCAAGAAGAAACAACTCAAGCCAAATGTGATGTCCTTTATAATAAACAGGAATTGAACCACGACTATACAGCAAGGAGGGACTTTATCCCTTGCTTTCAGACTCATCCGCTTACCTGTGATTTCCATTCAGTAAGATACTCATTTGACACCTTTCCACGGTCATTTAAATATGAAGCATCTCTTGAAATCCTCATTTCTTCTGTGGGCTGGATATAAATGATTGGTGCACTATTGGGATAGTCTTCTGGTAACATGACTCGCAGGGGGATATTGTACGTGTTCCCTTAAAACATTCAAAGAAATTTCAATAATTGGTTTCAATCAAATAAGTAATACATTTATAAAGGTTAACAATGAGGAATTGGCAGAATTTCAAAGTCTGCACAAATATAGTGTCATAGAAACAGACATTCAAGAGGACTACTTGGAATCCTACAGTACTTCTAGTATTGATTCTACTTTTCATCCCTGAAGTTTATCATTTTAAGCATCTTTTGTATAAAAATAAATCAAGATTATTACCTCGATGGCACGGTAACAACTAGTTGAAATTTGAATACCTTTATAACTTATTGGTAATGTCCCTTCAAGATTTATCATGTCATATAAATGTCCATCAACAACTGCAAACAAGAAAGAAAATAACATTTTATATTACACCTTGCGAAAACGTTCAGACATATTAGGATGTTTGTATTTAGTAAAAAGGAATAAATYAAAAGACAAAAGAAGATCACTGAGGCTGAACGCTCTCTTTTGTCTTGTTTTAATTTATTCCTTTTTACTAAATTTGAATCTTCTATTTTCTATGACACAACATTTCTGCTTGTCTGAGTAGGTGCATACAAAAATTATAAATTGAATAAACTTTATATTTTTAGCAAATGAAAAATGGACAAAAATTCTCCAAAGTATGACTCAAGATACCATTGGCATTACACCAGCATTCTGATRTTGCACTGATGTACTTTATAAAGAGTGTCGCCACTTGCAACAATAGCTTAATTAATTTACCACATTCTCTTTGGAAAAGCTTCAGGTTTGAAAACTTTTCTARTGCTGAACAAACATCTTCTGAACAACGACTAGCATCAGAGTACTAAACAGGAAAAAAGGGAAAATTAATGTTCCTAGTATTTTGTAATAGTTTTATATAACTATAATTTACAGCCTTTTGCAAAAATTATGAGAATTGTCTAAATATCTAAATATCATAATATCCATATCCATATATTGTCCGGAAAACGCGGGTTTGCTAGAATAATTCATTGTTGACATCGAGAAAATGTTCAGAACTACGGATAAGTCTGTCGCCAAAAAAAACCCTAAACTACAAAGACAAGGGACTAAGGGCATCGCACGGGATTACCCATCATGCACTTGATATTATGATATTTAGATATTTCGACAATTCTCATAATTTTTGCAAAAGGCTGTATAAAAAGTTATATATAAATATATAACTTTTTATAAATTATAGTTATATAATTTATTATAATATAGACATGGCCTGTAATAATAAAGTAAATAAAAGTGACAGAAGTTGTTTGGGGGTGGGGGAAACTCCCTTTTAAAAGTCGGTAGGTATGCTCAATGGACYTTTTAGGGTTGAAAATAAAACCCTCGCATACCTTTTAGGGTCCTGGGCTAACTCAGTATCTTGTAGGTTCAATTTTCGAGCAATGGAAAACAAAAATTGAAGAAGTGTTATAAATAAAATTATAGATTTTATTAACCTCAACAATCTATCAACATTGATTTTCTACTTAGCAATTAGACCTCGAGGTCGAGTGGACTATGAGCTAATAGCCCATGAGGCCAAGTCCGTGAGGCCAAATGGGCTATTAGCTCGTAGTCCACGAGGCCAATAGGTCTAATTGTTTTAAAAATTAGTATAAACATACTGATCGGTCAAATAATGAAAACAAATTGAAATATCCTTAAAATAATTTATCATTTATTTATTTTGATTTTCCTGCGAGTGGTCTATCACAAATTAGACCATTAGTAGAGCAGCCAATCACAGCACAGTATGAGTCATAGACCATTATATGTTTAATACTAAAGTTTGTTAGACTTGAGCTTTTCTCTTAACTGGTCATACCTTTTAGGGTCTGGATTTGATACCTGAATTGATTTATAAGTACCTTTTAGAGTCATATCTCAATCCGTCTGTCGAGCATGCTTACCAACTTTTAAATTGGAGCTCCCTCCCCCCTCCCCCAGGGTCTTTTTGCCTACAACCATTGCATACAACATGCCTATTGCCTCCTTACAACATGGCTACAACTGTTGTAAAGCTTTTAAAAATTATTTGACTGTTGTATCAATATTAATCATGTAAGTAAAAAAGTTCTACTTGAGCTGGTTGTATGCTCAGATGCTAGATTTATCAGCTTTTAAGTCATGTTGGTACGTACAAAGCTTTTAAGCTGAATTAATTAAATTAAGTCAATTAAGTCAATTAAAGTGAAACTCTTGCAGTTTTGAATTATGATATTATGCAAATGAATATGAAAATTGCAAATTAAACATATGAAATTTCTAAACAAAGTTCAAGTTTAAAGAATTACCTTAGGGAATACGGATTTTATAAACGACGGAGTGACGTTGTTTTGATTTGAAGCCATCCCTCRTCCGCAAATTTTCGTATCTCCTGAGTCTTTTCTARCACAAGAAACTTCTTTTTAAGGCGGCATTAAACTATAGGAGCTCAATTAAKAGCTTTGCATTTTAAAAGCACCCTAACAGAGATGATTTTCAGTCGACAAAACTGTGACGAACTGCACGAAAGAATGCACAATGTGAGGTGAAGACCGGAACGAAACATCTAGGCGTTCCTCGTATTTAGCGGAAAAGAGACTGAGTCGAGTMATTTCTTGCACTTTMGTGCTCACAAAGTGCTGYTGCGTCACATCCGGTCAGTATTTAATTTTTGTTTTTTTATGAACAAGAAATGAGTGCAACAGTTCATTAATGAAAACTAAACAAAACAAATTAAAGTAAGTGTTTAAGAGAAATCGTAGAAGGAATCAAAAAATTAATATGGAAAAGGAATTTTATTTAAAGAATGGAAAAATAAATAGAATATTGGCAGCTGTCAATAGATGAGTTAGCAAGAGTCTTCATATATTGAGAGAGATTGAGGGAGATCATAGGGCTTTATTTAACGAAACTCAAGTTGTGAATACATTAATTTAGTACTGCAAATGTAATGTCACCCTTTCTGACATCATCAATATCATTGAAGATTAATTGATTTATAGATTTTATATATATTACAAAGTTTTTGACTACAACAATAAATCCAGTATAAATACAGTCATTACAGAGTTTTGAGCAAACATATAGGACATCCAACTTGTGGATTATTGGGAAATGAGAGGGATTTGGCTTATATTCTTAGCGCCCCGGTTCCAAAAAATTTATCACTCCTGGGGCATTCTGTTACCCCTCTCTAAAACAACCCTGGATATGTACTTGTAAAAGTTCACAGTAAAAGGCCATATAAATCATTGATTATTTATAAATCATTGAAAAAAATAGAGATCACAATTGAAATAGTCCTTGTAATAAATTATATTAAATCACTACAAGAGACCGCTGAGAAGTGGAGTAGTACTATATTAGGTGCTTATTAATATAAATATAATTGTTAGCCATAAAAATGTCGGGGGAGGAGAGAGGTGGAGTTAGTCCCCTTCACATAAGACAGGGATCCCAAAACATGGCTGCTCAAGATACAAGATCCAAGGCAGCTGAAGGTTATCCTGAAGTTCTTGAGAACTTGGTTAAACCAAAATAGTTGTCCAACACTTTTTATCTTTACATATATACACACAAAGTCTTGCATTAGTTTTGTACAACTTCACAACAATAGTTAATAATTTTTTGTAGCATTCTAATTCTATTAACAAAGGACATTTTTGTACACAATACATTTAAAATGAAGTGTCATGTAACAATATTCCTTACATTTTAACAATAGCTTTTGTGACAGCTAGATACATGACATAGTGACATGTATAACTTCGTGACAGTGACATGCTTGACTGTGACTTGCGTGACTGAGACTTGTGTGACAGGGACTTGTAAGACAGGAGTGACAATGATTTGTATGACACACGACAGTGACATGCATGACACTGACTTGCAGACAGTGACAGTAACTTCTATATGAAAGTCACTTGTGACATTGACTTGTCAGGCAGCGAATTACATGACATTGACTTGCATGACAGTGGCTTGTGTGACAGTGGCTTGCATGACATGCCTTGTGTGGCAGTACGGCTAGATTTGATCAATACATAATTATGTAGATAATTATCATTGTACATAGAATTTCAGGTATTCCAGATCAGCTAATTATTTATAAATAAGAGCACAGCCTTGATGTAATCATAGAGATTTCATGTATTCTCCTCATCACTCTTCTGGTCAAATTCATTTTCTGTTATATTAAGATCATCAAAATTCTGTGGAAGAAAAAATTGATCAGCTCACACGAAATGAAAAATTGCTAACACTGTTTGGAGTGCAGTAGAGTGGATGCACTAAATCTGTGAAACAAATATGGCTAATTACTTCGAATAAATTTGATTTAAAAAAAAGAGAAAAAAAGATTCAGCATGACTAATTATTATTGTGATATTTTGAAATATTTTTGTTCCTCAGATTTAATGTGTTCACTGACCAATACATGGAGCGTTTGCCAGTACCTCTAATTCTTGCATAACCATATCCATAAAATCTGTTGAATTTTCTTTGTACTGAACTCCTAACCTAATCGCTTCTCTGAAAACCTAATYMACAGAATGATATTGAATCRTTAGTTGACAGGACTTCAAGTACRAAGKGCATTTGGGTATCCTGTGTTTATCTTTAACAGATAAATAATATAAAGATACACACTTCATCAAATGTATTGAAAGTATTATAAATGTGTATTTGATAATTTAAATTCTAAAAGGTATTGCATAAAGCAACATAAAGATGAATTAAGGGCTTCAAGGGTTTTACAGCGAGAATCATTGCATTGCAACTCCTTCGTTTCGCAGTTTGTTTTGATTTTGTTCTTTCCTTCGATCTCAGGGGCAAGCTTTTTGTAAACTTGTTCAGTCATTGGCTGAATTTCCAGCAAGTCGCTCTGCCTTAAGTCTCAGAAAAACCCAATTCCTAAAGATTTCTTTTAAACACTGAAGTCGCTATGCAACGGTTTCTGCTGCAAGAAAAACAAAACAAAAATATATTGTTTGGTTTACTTACTTTGACAACATTAGATCCATCAGAAGCAGAAACAAAATAGAAAGGTAAATTGTACTTTTTTGGAAAATTGAATGATTTCTGGGTTACTTTGTAATCAACTGAACAAAAACTGTTAAGGAACTGTTAGACTAGACATTAGTCAGAATACAAAGGACTTCACATAAAAGTCTCCTTCACAAATTTCCATGCAATCTTGAGAAGTAACCATTCTTTGCATCATAGCAAGATGACCATTGAGGCATGCAACGATATAAACCTTCTTTTCGCACCCACAGACAATAGTCTCCTTCATGATTCCCAGCAATCAATCCAACCAATCTTGAAAGGTAGCTGTGCCTTTACATCAAAGCGAGACAACCGTTAAGCATGAAATGATAGATAGCTGTGAATAATTGTATGTAGGTGTGAAAGAAGGCTTCTATCATTGCATGCTCAACGGTTGTCTCGCTTCGATGCAAAGGCAAAGCTACCTTTCAAGATGTCACAGGGAACAGTGAAGGAGAACATTTGTCTGTGGGTGTGAAAGATGGTTTCTATCATTGCACACTCAAAAGCAGTCCTGCTTTGACCCAAATATTATTTTATAAGCAGTCCAAAGGATACCATCTATTTTATTAGCCACTACAATACAAGGGATGGAATCTCTATATTGACGAAGTTCTTTATACCAGTTTGGTAAATTCTTGTAAGTAATTTTCCTTGTTATATCAAATACCTGTAAAATAAAATTGAAAATCTATAATATTTTTATTTATTGTAACATTTTTTCAGTCCTGGTCATTCTATAGTCATCATTTGCATTGTACAGGACCAGCTCAGTCAAAATCATGTCCCAAATCTTATACCCCTAATATAAGGTCATGTAATAATTATTATAATATTGTAATAATCCAAAATCATATACATTAACATGTACATACCAATATGCAAGCATGTGCTTGGTGATAATACGATGGATGCATACTGCTAAAACGCTCCTGACCTGCAGTATCCCAGAAGTCTAAAGAACAGTACAATACAAGCTAACAAACTAGTATACACTATATCAGGAAACTAAAACCCTGTCCCTAACTCCAGGGAATGCTTAATTTAAGCAACCAATACAATACTCACCAACATTAACCTCTTTGTCATCTACTTTTGTTTTATATTGAAACAGTGTTAGAGCATATGTAGAAAGTTGCTGTGGTTTGCTTAAAAGTAAGGTTAAGGAAAGGAATCTGAGATTTCTTCATCACAATAATTAAGCAATTAGCGATAGACAGCTGTCAATCTCCTAAAGTGCAGTTTGTCGCCMGTTAGTTTGAAATTTTRATAAATGGAAGACTACTACTCATTGTGATATTATGAATTTTCTCTGGTTTAGGCACACAGCAATACAACAATCTTATCTGTAAAATTTGAAAATTTTCAAGTTAAAAATTTATTTACAAAAATATATATATTATACACAGGTAGAATTACATACAATAGTACTTTGTGGAAGCTGGATTTTTTTAAGTAGTGCATTATTAATACCATGAAAAAAAAAAGATAGAAAATTTGCACAAAAACAAGGGTGACCAGATACTTTCACTTATAGCCATATAATAAGAAATACAATACAACTTTAAATGGATAAAAAATTTTCATAAAAAAATCATTAGAAAAATCTTTGAAGATCAAAATTTAAAGATGGTCATACAGAACTGTTATATAATCAACAGACAGGATACATGTACAAGCTGCACTCTTTAAAAATATGTTGATTGACAGCGTTAAATGAGTTTTTCTCTACTCAAATAAAACAGCATATTGTTGCACCTGCTCCTATTTACAGCGAGCTACGAGTGGTTCTCAAAATACATGTATAATTTCAGCCATGTCTGATCGGTGGAAAATTCCCCTCATCCTTAATTAAGCTGAACATTAATCTGACATTCTAAAAAATATTAATGAAGTGAAGATTTTGCAGGCTTAAAATTTGATCTGTGTTCAAGAAATGGTAGAAGTAACAATTTGAGACTGCCTAAATAATTAAGTTTTAATAAAAAGTCTGATATCTAGTGCACTATTTTGAATGTATAGAAGTGATTGGTAAGCTTAWKSYTAACGAGTTTTTGGTAGGAACATTTTCGCTGCGAAATCAATTTTTCGACTAATCCATAGACACGAATACTAAACAACATATTACAGAATAAACCTGAAAAATATATAAACCATTATAAGCATAAAAGAGTACAGAATGAAGTTTGAAAAGGATACTAGCCATCCATAAGGAATCGCTCGACCAATCTGAACAAATACGACAAGACAACAAGCTGTTAAAAAAAAACTATTGAAGACATATTTTGCTTACAAAATATCATTGATACCTACTTTGACTTTCCAACAGCACTATCCCCTAAGCAAATCACCTTTACAGAGAAATCTTTATCTTTTTTATTAGCGGTTTCTCCGTCGCCTTCATCTTTTCTGGTCGCCATTTTGGATTTTACTTCCTGAAATGAACCACAATGCACCGCGTTCGTCTCATCGATGATGCCTTTCCGGTTGCTAATGACAACAAAATAATGGTGAAAGTGAAGGTTAACGAGATTTATATTATTTTAACTCATTCATTTTTTCCATATTGCTTTCGTTATCTTTTAAGTATATAACATGCAAAATTGGCACTGATGTTTTATGGCGTGTATAGCTTTTTATGGCCCTCTTACGTGCTGGAAACGTAAAATTGATTTGATACTCCCTCTCCRTYGCAGTAGTTCCCGTACATTTGCAACCTCACAATTCTGCACTTGAGCTGCAATTGAATAGCTACTCCGAATTCTTCATTTTACTCATGAATATTTTATTGATTCATTGGAGACTTATTATTTCCACTATACAACGTTATTAGATATAGTGACTTTAGTAAACTTAGAGTGGACTTCGTAGGCTGTGCAAAAAACACAAGTCACTTCGTCAGTCGTACTGAGACCTAACGCCCATATAAAGGCCTGAATCAATATATATTTCATTTGCATGACGTTACTAGTAGTCGAGGATCCTTGACCGTACGCCCTCCGGTTTCCGTGACGTGTTCACGATCCGAGACGAGTCCTTATTGTGGAAAAAACTTACAAACGTAAGCGGAGACGGATTCTGAGACGGAGTGTAACATTTAATCCATTTTGTTCATAATAACGTAACGAAGATATTTAGCGAATATGGAAACGTAAACAAACATTTTCGCATTGATATAATAGGCGTAATAGCCGGAGTCAAAAAAACGTGAGACCGTCCGTAGCTCTTATTACGTGTCTACTTCGCTTACGTTCCGTCTACTGAAAGGTGTCGACAATCACTGTCCCAAATAGTTCGGCACACGTGACCATTTTGATATACGAAGTGGCTATATGAGTGGTAGCCGACGAGATGACGTAACCGATGTCAAGCGCGCCATACTCTGATTAATTCTAGGAAGACCAAGCAAGCTTAACCGCTAAGGACCTACTCTTGAGCTCTCCCAGCGAGAAGGAACAGCGCCAAGATTTTGTACACCTGAACGCCAGCATCCTCCCTTCAGTCTAGACCGACAATCGACTCCCAAAATATGCCTGGTAGAAGAAGACCTGCATTACAATACAGCGATGACGCTACGCGGAAAAGAAAGCGCCAGCATTCGGCTTCAACTGATGATGAAAGTTCTAGGTACGTTTAGCATTATAATGAAGCTGTGTTAGTTTAATAAGTGGTGAGTGATCCGACTGAGGTGACCTCGTGCGTTATGGCGGGAAAAAGTACGTTAATGTACAACTATATGTGTTTCCAATGATGCAATGCTACGCTACAAACAAAATGAAAAGTTATATATCTTTGAATTAAACTTCCGTGCAATTCGTCCAATGTTTGAAACAATGCCTTGATCTTAACTATAATGCTCAACCAATCTTGGTAAACATTTGATTTTGAATTTGCTGTAAATAAAGAGACTAGACGAATTATATATAGACAATTTGAAAATCAAAATGCAGTACAGCAATTGGTCTAGATCAGTTTTAAGAAGAGACGGCTTCCGATCAGTGTCACACAATTGGTATTAGCGTAATGTAATCAGTGGTAGATCAACAGGATCAGTTTTTGGATCGGGATCACAGCTTCTGTAATTAGGATCATTGATCATCTCTAATTAAATTCGGAGGGATCGCTCAGCTTTGGTAGATCAGGTATCAATTTTGGAAAGAAATTTGGGATGCTGGAGAAAATCAGATCATCAACAAAGAAAAAAATATCTAAGGACCTTAAGATGCTTCGCTTCACTGTGTAAATAGTTGCCAGACGGTGGAGTCGTATCAAGCAAAGCAAGAAAAAATGTCACCTTTTAACCCATGCATATGGTTTCACGAACATACGATATGCTAACAGAAGCACTTCAGCAAGAAATTGCACAAAATTTTCACTTCAGTGTAATGTCAAAGCATTTTATAGTTTTAAGATATCAGAAATGTGCATATGTACTTTAGGCTGATATCATGTGGTATGTATGTTTACCAAATCAGGGTTATAAACCCTAGCTATTTTTTTTTCTTCATTTCAGAAGAGGAAAGAGGCGAAGAAGCAGCCCCAACACCTCGTAAGCTAAAAAATATAACATAGTAGATTGNAATAATAAAGTAAATAAAAGTGACAGAAGTTGTTTGGGGGTGGGGGAAACTCCCTTTTAAAAGTCGGTAGGTATGCTCAATGGACCTTTTAGGGTTGAAAATAAAACCCTCGCATACCTTTTAGGGTCCTGGGCTAACTCAGTATCTTGTAGGTTCAATTTTCGAGCAATGGAAAACAAAAATTGAAGAAGTGTTATAAATAAAATTATAGATTTTATTAACCTCAACAATCTATCAACATTGATTTTCTACTTAGCAATTAGACCTCGAGGTCGAGTGGACTATGAGCTAATAGCCCATGAGGCCAAGTCCGTGAGGCCAAATGGGCTATTAGCTCGTAGTCCACGAGGCCAATAGGTCTAATTGTTTTAAAAATTAGTATAAACATACTGATCGGTCAAATAATGAAAACAAATTGAAATATCCTTAAAATAATTTATCATTTATTTATTTTGATTTTCCTGCGAGTGGTCTATCACAAATTAGACCATTAGTAGAGCAGCCAATCACAGCACAGTATGAGTCATAGACCATTATATGTTTAATACTAAAGTTTGTTAGACTTGAGCTTTTCTCTTAACTGGTCATACCTTTTAGGGTCTGGATTTGATACCTGAATTGATTTATAAGTACCTTTTAGAGTCATATCTCAATCCGTCTGTCGAGCATGCTTACCAACTTTTAAATTGGAGCTCCCTCCCCCCTCCCCCAGGGTCTTTTTGCCTACAACCATTGCATACAACATGCCTATTGCCTCCTTACAACATGGCTACAACTGTTGTAAAGCTTTTAAAAATTATTTGACTGTTGTATCAAAATAATAATGTAAGTAAAAAAGTTCTACTTGAGCTGGTTGTATGCTCAGATGCTAGATTTATCAGCTTTTAAGTCATGTTGGTACGTACAAAGCTTTTAAGCTGAATTAATTAAATTAAGTCAATTAAGTCAATTAAAGTGAAACTCTTGCAGTTTTGAATATGATATTATGCAAATTAATATGAAAATTGCAAATTAAACATATGAAATTTCTAAACAAAGTTCAAGTTTAAAGAATTACCTTAGGGAATACGGATTTTATAAACGACGGAGTGACGTTGTTTTGATTTGAAGCCATCCCTCRTCCGCAAATTTTCGTATCTCCTGAGTCTTTTCTARCACAAGAAACTTCTTTTTAAGGCGGCATTAAACTATAGGAGCTCAATTAAKAGCTTTGCATTTTAAAAGCACCCTAACAGAGATGATTTTCAGTCGACAAAACTGTGACGAACTGCACGAAAGAATGCACAATGTGAGGTGAAGACCGGAACGAAACATCTAGGCGTTCCTCGTATTTAGCGGAAAAGAGACTGAGTCGAGTMATTTCTTGCACTTTMGTGCTCACAAAGTGCTGYTGCGTCACATCCGGTCAGTATTTAATTTTTGTTTTTTTATGAACAAGAAATGAGTGCAACAGTTCATTAATGAAAACTAAACAAAACAAATTAAAGTAAGTGTTTAAGAGAAATCGTAGAAGGAATCAAAAAATTAATATGGAAAAGGAATTTTATTTAAAGAATGGAAAAATAAATAGAATATTGGCAGCTGTCAATAGATGAGTTAGCAAGAGTCTTCATATATTGAGAGAGATTGAGGGAGATCATAGGGCTTTATTTAACGAAACTCAAGTTGTGAATACATTAATTTAGTACTGCAAATGTAATGTCACCCTTTCTGACATCATCAATATCATTGAAGATTAATTGATTTATAGATTTTATATATATTACAAAGTTTTTGACTACAACAATAAATCCAGTATAAATACAGTCATTACAGAGTTTTGAGCAAACATATAGGACATCCAACTTGTGGATTATTGGGAAATGAGAGGGATTTGGCTTATATTCTTAGCGCCCCGGTTCCAAAAAATTTATCACTCCTGGGGCATTCTGTTACCCCTCTCTAAAACAACCCTGGATATGTACTTGTAAAAGTTCACAGTAAAAGGCCATATAAATCATTGATTATTTATAAATCATTGAAAAAAATAGAGATCACAATTGAAATAGTCCTTGTAATAAATTATATTAAATCACTACAAGAGACCGCTGAGAAGTGGAGTAGTACTATATTAGGTGCTTATTAATATAAATATAATTGTTAGCCATAAAAATGTCGGGGGAGGAGAGAGGTGGAGTTAGTCCCCTTCACATAAGACAGGGATCCCAAAACATGGCTGCTCAAGATACAAGATCCAAGGCAGCTGAAGGTTATCCTGAAGTTCTTGAGAACTTGGTTAAACCAAAATAGTTGTCCAACACTTTTTATCTTTACATATATACACACAAAGTCTTGCATTAGTTTTGTACAACTTCACAACAATAGTTAATAATTTTTTGTAGCATTCTAATTCTATTAACAAAGGACATTTTTGTACACAATACATTTAAAATGAAGTGTCATGTAACAATATTCCTTACATTTTAACAATAGCTTTTGTGACAGCTAGATACATGACATAGTGACATGTATAACTTCGTGACAGTGACATGCTTGACTGTGACTTGCGTGACTGAGACTTGTGTGACAGGGACTTGTAAGACAGGAGTGACAATGATTTGTATGACACACGACAGTGACATGCATGACACTGACTTGCAGACAGTGACAGTAACTTCTATATGAAAGTCACTTGTGACATTGACTTGTCAGGCAGCGAATTACATGACATTGACTTGCATGACAGTGGCTTGTGTGACAGTGGCTTGCATGACATGCCTTGTGTGGCAGTACGGCTAGATTTGATCAATACATAATTATGTAGATAATTATCATTGTACATAGAATTTCAGGTATTCCAGATCAGCTAATTATTTATAAATAAGAGCACAGCCTTGATGTAATCATAGAGATTTCATGTATTCTCCTCATCACTCTTCTGGTCAAATTCATTTTCTGTTATATTAAGATCATCAAAATTCTGTGGAAGAAAAAATTGATCAGCTCACACGAAATGAAAAATTGCTAACACTGTTTGGAGTGCAGTAGAGTGGATGCACTAAATCTGTGAAACAAATATGGCTAATTACTTCGAATAAATTTGATTTAAAAAAAAGAGAAAAAAAGATTCAGCATGACTAATTATTATTGTGATATTTTGAAATATTTTTGTTCCTCAGATTTAATGTGTTCACTGACCAATACATGGAGCGTTTGCCAGTACCTCTAATTCTTGCATAACCATATCCATAAAATCTGTTGAATTTTCTTTGTACTGAACTCCTAACCTAATCGCTTCTCTGAAAACCTAATYMACAGAATGATATTGAATCRTTAGTTGACAGGACTTCAAGTACRAAGKGCATTTGGGTATCCTGTGTTTATCTTTAACAGATAAATAATATAAAGATACACACTTCATCAAATGTATTGAAAGTATTATAAATGTGTATTTGATAATTTAAATTCTAAAAGGTATTGCATAAAGCAACATAAAGATGAATTAAGGGCTTCAAGGGTTTTACAGCGAGAATCATTGCATTGCAACTCCTTCGTTTCGCAGTTTGTTTTGATTTTGTTCTTTCCTTCGATCTCAGGGGCAAGCTTTTTGTAAACTTGTTCAGTCATTGGCTGAATTTCCAGCAAGTCGCTCTGCCTTAAGTCTCAGAAAAACCCAATTCCTAAAGATTTCTTTTAAACACTGAAGTCGCTATGCAACGGTTTCTGCTGCAAGAAAAACAAAACAAAAACATATTGTTTGGTTTACTTACTTTAACAACATTAGATCCATCAGAAGCAGAAACAAAATAGAAAGGTAAATTGTACTTTTTTGGAAAATTGAATGATTTCTGGGTTACTTTGTAATCAACTGAACAAAAGCTGTTAAGGAACTGTTATACATACTAGACATTAGAATACAAAGGACTTCACATAAAAGTCTCCTTCACAAATTTCCATGCAATCTTGAGAAGTAACCATTCTTTGCATCATAGCAAGATGACCATTGAGGCATGCAACGATATAAACCTTCTTTTCGCACCCACAGACAATAGTCTCCTTCATGATTCCCAGCAATCAATCCAACCAATCTTGAAAGGTAGCTGTGCCTTTACATCAAAGCGAGACAACCGTTAAGCATGAAATGATAGATAGCTGTGAATAATTGTATGTAGGTGTGAAAGAAGGCTTCTATCATTGCATGCTCAACGGTTGTCTCGCTTCGATGCAAAGGCAAAGCTACCTTTCAAGATGTCACAGGGAACAGTGAAGGAGAACATTTGTCTGTGGGTGTGAAAGATGGTTTCTATCATTGCACACTCAAAAGCAGTCCTGCTTTGACCCAAATATTATTTTATAAGCAGTCCAAAGGATACCATCTATTTTATTAGCCACTACAATACAAGGGATGGAATCTCTATATTGACGAAGTTCTTTATACCAGTTTGGTAAATTCTTGTAAGTAATTTTCCTTGTTATATCAAATACCTGTAAAATAAAATTGAAAATCTATAATATTTTTATTTATTGTAACATTTTTTCAGTCCTGGTCATTCTATAGTCATCATTTGCATTGTACAGGACCAGCTCAGTCAAAATCATGTCCCAAATCTTATACCCCTAATATAAGGTCATGTAATAATTATTATAATATTGTAATAATCCAAAATCATATACATTAACATGTACATACCAATATGCAAGCATGTGCTTGGTGATAATACGATGGATGCATACTGCTAAAACGCTCCTGACCTGCAGTATCCCAGAAGTCTAAAGAACAGTACAATACAAGCTAACAAACTAGTATACACTATATCAGGAAACTAAAACCCTGTCCCTAACTCCAGGGAATGCTTAATTTAAGCAACCAATACAATACTCACCAACATTAACCTCTTTGTCATCTACTTTTGTTTTATATTGAAACAGTGTTAGAGCATATGTAGAAAGTTGCTGTGGTTTGCTTAAAAGTAAGGTTAAGGAAAGGAATCTGAGATTTCTTCATCACAATAATTAAGCAATTAGCGATAGACAGCTGTCAATCTCCTAAAGTGCAGTTTGTCGCCMGTTAGTTTGAAATTTTRATAAATGGAAGACTACTACTCATTGTGATATTATGAATTTTCTCTGGTTTAGGCACACAGCAATACAACAATCTTATCTGTAAAATTTGAAAATTTTCAAGTTAAAAATTTATTTACAAAAATATATATATTATACACAGGTAGAATTACATACAATAGTACTTTGTGGAAGCTGGATTTTTTTAAGTAGTGCATTATTAATACCATGAAAAAAAAAAGATAGAAAATTTGCACAAAAACAAGGGTGACCAGATACTTTCACTTATAGCCATATAATAAGAAATACAATACAACTTTAAATGGATAAAAAATTTTCATAAAAAAATCATTAGAAAAATCTTTGAAGATCAAAATTTAAAGATGGTCATACAGAACTGTTATATAATCAACAGACAGGATACATGTACAAGCTGCACTCTTTAAAAATATGTTGATTGACAGCGTTAAATGAGTTTTTCTCTACTCAAATAAAACAGCATATTGTTGCACCTGCTCCTATTTACAGCGAGCTACGAGTGGTTCTCAAAATACATGTATAATTTCAGCCATGTCTGATCGGTGGAAAATTCCCCTCATCCTTAATTAAGCTGAACATTAATCTGACATTCTAAAAAATATTAATGAAGTGAAGATTTTGCAGGCTTAAAATTTGATCTGTGTTCAAGAAATGGTAGAAGTAACAATTTGAGACTGCCTAAATAATTAAGTTTTAATAAAAAGTCTGATATCTAGTGCACTATTTTGAATGTATAGAAGTGATTGGTAAGCTTAWKSYTAACGAGTTTTTGGTAGGAACATTTTCGCTGCGAAATCAATTTTTCGACTAATCCATAGACACGAATACTAAACAACATATTACAGAATAAACCTGAAAAATATATAAACCATTATAAGCATAAAAGAGTACAGAATGAAGTTTGAAAAGGATACTAGCCATCCATAAGGAATCGCTCGACCAATCTGAACAAATACGACAAGACAACAAGCTGTTAAAAAAAACTATTGAAGACATATTTTGCTTACAAAATATCATTGATACCTACTTTGACTTTCCAACAGCGCTATCCCCTAAGCAAATCACCTTTACAGAGAAATCTTTATCTTTTTTATTAGCGGTTTCTCCGTCGCCTTCATCTTTTCTGGTCGCCATTTTGGATTTTACTTCCTGAAATGAACCACAATGCACCGCGTTCGTCTCATCGATGATGCCTTTCCGGTTGCTAATGACAACAAAATAATGGTGAAAGTGAAGGTTAACGAGATTTATATTATTTTAACTCATTCATTGTTTCCATATTGCTTTCGTTATCTTTTAAGTATATAACATGCAAAATTGGCACTGATGTTTTATGGCGTGTATAGCTTTTTATGGCCCTCTTACGTGCTGGAAACGTAAAATTGATTTGATACTCCCTCTCCRTYGCAGTAGTTCCCGTACATTTGCAACCTCACAATTCTGCACTTGAGCTGCAATTGAATAGCTACTCCGAATTCTTCATTTTACTCATGAATATTTTATTGATTCATTGGAGACTTATTATTTCCACTATACAACGTTATTAGATATAGTGACTTTAGTAAACTTAGAGTGGACTTCGTAGGCTGTGCAAAAAACACAAGTCACTTCGTCAGTCGTACTGAGACCTAACGCCCATATAAAGGCCTGAATCAATATATATTTCATTTGCATGACGTTACTAGTAGTCGAGGATCCTTGACCGTACGCCCTCCGGTTTCCGTGACGTGTTCACGATCCGAGACGAGTCCTTATTGTGGAAAAAACTTACAAACGTAAGCGGAGACGGATTCTGAGACGGAGTGTAACATTTAATCCATTTTGTTCATAATAACGTAACGAAGATATTTAGCGAATATGGAAACGTAAACAAACATTTTCGCATTGATATAATAGGCGTAATAGCCGGAGTCAAAAAAACGTGAGACCGTCCGTAGCTCTTATTACGTGTCTACTTCGCTTACGTTCCGTCTACTGAAAGGTGTCGACAATCACTGTTCCAAATAGTTCGGCACACGTGACCATTTTGATTTACGAAGTGGCTATATAAGTGGTAGCCGACGAGATGACGTAACCGATGTCAAGCGCGCCATACTCTGATTAATTCTAGGAAGACCAACCAAGCTTAACCGCTAAGGACCTACTCTTGAGCTCTCCCAGCGAGAAGGAACAGCGCCAAGATTTTGTACACCTGAACGCCAGCATCCTCCCTTCAGTCTAGACCGACAATCGACTCCCAAAATATGCCTGGTAGAAGAAGACCTGCATTACAATACAGCGATGACGCTACGCGGAAAAGAAAGCGCCAGCATTCGGCTTCAACTGATGATGAAAGTTCTAGGTACGTTTAGCATTATAATGAAGCTGTGTTAGTTTAATAAGTGGTGAGTGATCCGACTGAGGTGACCTCGTGCGTTATGGCGGGAAAAAGTACGTTAATGTACAACTATATGTGTTTCCAATGATGCAATGCTACGCTACAAACAAAATGAAAAGTTATATATCTTTGAATTAAACTTCCGTGCAATTCGTCCAATGTTTGAAACAATGCCTTGATCTTAACTATAATGCTCAACCAATCTTGGTAAACATTTGATTTTGAATTTGCTGTAAATAAAGAGACTAGACGAATTATATATAGACAATTTGAAAATCAAAATGCAGTACAGCAATTGGTCTAGATCAGTTTTAAGAAGAGACGGCTTCCGATCAGTGTCACACAATTGGTATTAGCGTAATGTAATCAGTGGTAGATCAACAGGATCAGTTTTTGGATCGGGATCACAGCTTCTGTAATTAGGATCATTGATCATCTCTAATTAAATTCGGAGGGATCGCTCAGCTTTGGTAGATCAGGTATCAATTTTGGAAAGAAATTTGGGATGCTGGAGAAAATCAGATCATCAACAAAGAAAAAAATATCTAAGGACCTTAAGATGCTTCGCTTCACTGTGTAAATAGTTGCCAGACGGTGGAGTCGTATCAAGCAAAGCAAGAAAAAATGTCACCTTTTAACCCATGCATATGGTTTCACGAACATACGATATGCTAACAGAAGCACTTCAGCAAGAAATTGCACAAAATTTTCACTTCAGTGTAATGTCAAAGCATTTTATAGTTTTAAGATATCAGAAATGTGCATATGTACTTTAGSCTGATATCATGTGGTATGTATGTTTACCAAATCAGGGTTATAAACCCTAGCTATTTTTTTTTCTTCATTTCAGMAGAGGAAAGAGGCGAAGAAGCAGCCCCAACACCTCGTAAGCTAAAAAATATAACATAGTAGATTGYGCGAAGGCGTTGCGAAGCACCTTGCTCATGCACCAATGCACACTAGTCATTTTAAATCATTTGCGGGAGGWTGTCGAGACATTACGATTGCAAATGCGGTTATAAGAAGTACATGCTTCCAAATTTCTGAGAAAAGTCACTGTGAATTGAAACACGCTATATACATTGTGCAATGCCGCTGTTATTCACAGAAGAACTATAATTAAAATGAAGCAATAGAGTCAATTTCGTATGAGTGGGAAACGAGTGTACGGTATTACCGCACGGTTACCGCACAGTTACCGGACCTGGCCTGCACAATTTTTGTGAAGCAATGAGACACTAGAATTTGGTTACAGTACGATTACGGTTACAGTACAGTACCGTCCGTTTCCCACTCATACGAAATTAACTCTAAGGATAGCTGTCTTTTACCGTTGTAACGATACGCTCGCACAAAAAAATGAGACAGACCCATTGGCCCAGCTATAGGCTTGGTGCTCAGCACAGCTATTGAGTTGCTTACTTCAAACGAACTTGAAACCATGCATGCCACCCCAAGTTTTTCATAAAATTTCGGCAACAGCACTTTTAAGCTAAAACTCTTTTGCTAAATAACTATAGAGAGTCCCGGCGACATAAGAAGCTTGGTGAAGAATCAAGTGGGCGAAAGCGCATGACAGGAACTAAGGAATTTATAGAAAAAATGAAGTCATTAAAAACYAGTACTAGAAAGATTGAAGGTAAACATTGCCGTAAACAAATATTTGGTATCAATCTATGTTTTGTTTGTTATTGTTGTTGTTGTTGTTTTTTTCTTTGCATACATTCTAACGCCAACTAACAGAGGAATGCATGTTACTTTATTATAATAATGCTTCGTGCATGCAACACATTTCTATTTTAATAGCAATGTGTTGCAGGATGCCATTACTGCATAGCAGGGCACGATGCAGTGTTTATTTTGCTAGATGCGTTTTTAAACGTATTTATTTCCGCTGCAGCTTCTCAGCTAAAGCCCGAGAAGGTTGATTTTCACATTGAGGAAAACCGTGCAGGTCACCACACTGATGAATATGCTATGGAAAGTCTTATTATAAGGAGGGGACAAGAGTTCAAAGTTACTCTAGCATTTGACCGTCCATTTGACCTTAGAAAAGACCAACTGACCTTGCAACTTACTTTTGGTACGTAGGATGACATCAAACTGCTATACATACAAATATAACCAACAGATTATATCACACATATCCAAACAAGTCACCTGACAACCAGAGAAAATTCTTCTTCACGGTTCCCTGCGCCATCTTGGAAAGGTAGCCATGCCTTTGCATCGAAGAGACAAAGACCCGTGAATAATTGTCTGTCGGTATGAAAGAAGGTCTCGCTTCGATGCAATTAGGCACGGTTACTATTCAAGATGGCGAAGGGAACCTTGAAGAAGACTATTGTTACAGTGGCAAATATATGACCAAACTTGAATTCAAAAATCTATGCAAATTATTGTTGACAATTCTTCTTTGCAGGGACTCGACCTCAAAAAAGTAAAAACTCTTTGATTCGTGTCAAAGAAGCCAAAGAACTTTCTACGTCATCCTGGGGCATGCGCGTAGATGGTACCGTACCAGGTAACAATGTTAACCTGACATTGATGTCTCCCGCTAATGCCTTTGTTGGAGAGTACTCCGTCTACGTTGAAACCAAAACCAAGAAAACAGGAAGCGAAGAATGTCTCAGGTTTAGGAAGAAACTTAACGAAACGTTTTTTGTTTTGTTTAACGCATGGTGTAAAGGTACAGTACTCGTATAGGTGGATCTTTGTTTACATGATTTTCCTCATTAGCATAAGCTTTTTTGCTTTTAAACAAGCTAAATCCAAATCTATACTGGATATTTACAGATATTAGCTCAATTAGCACTCCACGAAAATTTGAGCTTGATATATCTAATAGATTTCGCATAATATGGCTTTAAAAACTACGAATTTTACAAAGAATGTATGGGCTCATTAGCGCTTTGCCACACAGACTTTGCCACACAGAAAAAAGCCACGAAATAAGAAAACTTAAATCAAAACTTAGAAAACCTCGTAAATCTACAGATTTCACAACACTTTGAGCTTTTTGCATTCAATTTTAAACACGATATATCAGTTTTGAGAACAATGGAAAATCGGGCTGTGTGGCAAAACGCTAATGAGCCCATACATTCTTTGTAAAATTCGTAGTTTTGAAAACCATATTACTCCAAATCTATTCCATGGATTTAGCTCAAATTATCAATAACAGCTAATCTTACAGAGTTCTTTCAATATTCAGTGTGTATGTGGTGTTAGCCGAAAAAAAAATGTAAACAATGACGTCAGCAAAGATCCACCTATAGTTCACGTTCTCACGTTCTCTGCCGACAACCGAGAGAAATTGTGACTGAATAGACCTCTGTTTGGGACAAAACATGGCGATTTTCTTTTGTTTTCTCCAGAAACTGTTCCCACAATGCATTGCTAATCAAGCAGTGACGTAAAAGGTTCAGAAGTCTATTGTAAATCAACTGATAGCTCCGTTTCACACCTCGGCAACTAGAATCCCAAAAGTGTTTTGTTGTTTAAGGACAGGAATTATTCCATTTGTTTCAGATGACACGGTATACATGGACAAGGAAGATGAGCGCCAGGAATATGTGTTAAACGACCGCGGGAGGATCTGGGTTGGAAGTAAAAGATCTTTTGAGGGTATTCCGTGGTACTTTGGGCAGGTTCGTTTGTGATCCATACAAATACATCGAACGCAATGCTCTTTGCTGATAAAATTATTTCAGTATAT